TGCGGAGCTGCAGTTTGTATTCAGGAAATGAGTTGGTGTTGAAGGAAGAAGGGTCAACGTACCCGTTACTATTTGGCTCAAGATGGGCTTGAACAAGAAGCCACAAGTTCAAAAAGTAGTGCCTGGGCTCTTAGGGTTTGTTAAGGGTGTGGATTCCTTTCCCCCTTCTTTCCCCCCTGGGTTGCTCTTATCCGTGTTTTGGGTTGTCTCTTGGTTCGATCTGGGGAATATAAGTTCTGGGCAATCAGTGGGGTTGATTTCTTTCCTTCTTTGGTTGTCCCCCCGTATAGGGTTTGGGGTTTAGGGTTTAGGGTTTAGGGAAGCCCACTTGGGATTTCCGTGGCCGGCGAGTGCTATGTTCACTGCGATGCCGATGCGCAGACTGGCTCTTCACGCATCGGCGCATTGGCGCATTGGCGCATTGGCGCCATTCTCTGTCCTAAAGTTGCAGAGAGCGCTGCTGCAAGCACAAAAGAGTTCAAAGCAAAACCTCTTCGGCGCGAGCGGGAAAATCAGCAGTGGCGATGTTGGGGATAGGATCTTTTCAAGGGTGTCTTCCTCGGCTGGCACTTCCCCCACTCAACATTCTGGTCTATCGACTTAACACATCGACATACATCTGTTGAATCCTTGGCAGGAACATGGTCCGCAACTTGACAGTACCACGAAATGGATTATCCGAGGCTTGGAAGAAGCACTCTGCGTGCGACTAGCAAGCGGAACGGTTTAACAAACCGCATTGACTGATTGCTTGTGCTCCAGTGATCGGCAAGGGGGATCTACCGATCGCCGCATGTCTTCGACCGAGCCGTTCAAAGCACCACACTGTTGTCCACTCCCTGTCTCACAAAACACTAGCGGCTCAGGACTGCTCATCTCCGCAAGATCATGGTCACACACACACAAGCACACAAGGGGAAGAAATGCCCGCTGTCGCCGTCATGGTCGTAATGGTGATGGTGGTGGTGGTGGGTGGGTCGAAGCAGCGTCTCCCGACTCCGACCACTCGTGCGGAAAGGGTTCTATACCCAATACTGACAGCATGCAGGATCGAAACGAATGCAAGGTCTCACAGTTCATGGCTTGGAGATTATTGACGTCACGACGACGGCAAAAACTGAAGTGACGATGCCAGTGCAACAAATCGATTGATTCTCATCGAGAAAGAGTCCAATCCCGACGATGCAACTTGGCAACTGCAGCAACAAAAGATTTTTGCCGAATGCAGCACAAGTTGTCACAGTAGCTTCTAAGGCTTCCTTGGAGTCGGGACCGCATCCCTGCAGGGCTACTGTGGCGCCAAGGATCAGTACCGCCAAAGCGAGCTTCATCGGGATGGTGCACAGCGGTGGCAATGTTGAACCTTTCTCCCCCTCAAGGTCTTGAGCCGGGCATGGGGCGCAACAAGAACTTCTTGCAGTACTGAGATTATTACCACTCCTTCGGCCGGGACTCCAAAGCAGCAAGCTTTTGCAAATGACAGATGCCTCACTCGGACGTTCGTGCACTCATAGGCGATGCACATTGTAAGACCTGCCAACAAGTCTTAGAACACTCAACCTGAACAGCCCCCGCGTTGAATCAGTGCAAATCTTTACCTCCCTGATGCTGCAGATGCACTCTGAAACATGCTTCGGCATGAGTCGGGCAACTCATGCAACTTCTACTGTCAAACACAAACAAAATGTCCTTCTGCGTTTGACCGCTCCTCCCGAAATGCGAGGCTTCCGCTTTTGCATTTCCACATCCGCTAAGTCCGCTGAAGGTTCTGCTAGAACTGCCCGTATGGCTTCTTCGACGATGCTTGCAACTTCGACGTGGCCAAGATTTGAAGCTCGCCTGCAGGAATGTCTCGCGCAACTGTCGCATGTCAACGCCACACTCAACCACTACACTAGACTCCAAACCACCGCATCCAAGCGAAAAGCATCGTTCACACACCACACCGGGAGCCTCTGGGATAGTGATAGACGTCTCTTGCTCCTTGCGGACAATCTTTCTCGCTCCCTGCAACAGCTCCGCTAGATGGCTCTTTTGTCTCCTTATCCTCCACTGCCATCCACTGCCCTCCCCCCATGGCTTCTTTCGCCTGTTCCCTGTCCGCAGCCCCGCCTACCTGCCTACCTCCCTTCCCTCCTCGAATTGCGACTTCTTTTCCCACAAGCATGCAGGAAAGAATTCGAGGGGTTTGCCAGAAAGACTTTTTCAATCGAGGGCAGGCCCGTAGGCGCGACCCCAGCCTTCCAAAATCTCTCCCGAACCCTCACCCTGTGCCCGCTGCGCGCACAAACCGCAAGCGCTCCGCGAAGGTCTTTCAGCAAGTGAAACCACAAACCCATTTCCCGAAGCCCGACCTTTCAAAAGACTAAGCCCGAACCTGTCTTGAAGCTGCCCGGAGGACCGAGAGTCTTCGGCCCAAAAGCTGCGGAGGCCCACCTGCGAGCTCAGCGGGGTTCAGGGCTTGGGTTCCTCTTGGTGAGCTGAGAGATTCAAAGCTTCCTAGAAGGGCGGGCTTTCTTCTGGCTCGAACTCATCAGCCGATGCTTCATCCGAAGCGGAACAGGTCCTGGCGCCAGAATCAGCGCTTGCAAAGAGTTTGGCATCGTTCTCTTCGGCCAGTCGGGCCGCTGATGAATTGGCGTTCAAAGCTGATCCGGTGACGAGGCTCACCATTGGTGTTCAGCTTGAGCGCAACAAAATCACAAAACAAAACAAAAAGTTGGAACGCAGAGATCGTCACATCACAGGGCGAGCAAAGCGCCGTCACCCCATGTCGCGCGGAGTCTTCCTTTCGCGCCAGTCCAATTCAAAACATCTTTGAGATCACCAAAGAGCGGAACGTTCATTCCAGAAGCGCGTGGTTTCTTGCTTTCCACCACCACAACGGGTGGGAGGGCAGAAACTGCGGAAACTGCTGGGGGCCGGCCTGGAGTGTCTTTGGGACGTCCATTAGGAACATACTTGTAGCCCTGATGGAGGCGGCGGTTTGGACCTCGAAAGTTCGGATGACATGGGACTGCTGGGGGTCGGCCTGGGGCGCCTTCTGGGGGAGCTCCGTTATGGCCGTTTGCACCACGAGACGCTTTCGAAAAGTTCGGGCCCATGACATGGGACTGCTGGAGGCCGGCCTGTTGGGGAGCTCTGTTAGAAAGGCCCGGAGGGGGGTGGTGCAGACCTTGGGATGTTTTCGGAACGTTCGGGCTGTGGACATGGGACTGCTGGAGGCCGGCCTGTTGGGGAGCTTTGTTAGTCGGAGGGGGGTGGTCCAGACCTTGGGATGTTGCCGGCCTGTTGGGGAGCTCTGTGAGTAAGGCCCCGAGGGGTGGGCCAGACCTTGGGATGTTTTCGGAACGTTCGGGGTCTGGACATGGGACTGCTGGAGGCCGGCCTGTTGGGGAGCTCTGTGAGTAAGGCCCGCAAAAAAATGTCCAGACCTTGGGATGTTTTGTTCGGGCTCTGGACATGGGACTGCTGCAGGCCGGCCTGTTGGGGAGCTCTGTGAGTAAGGCCCGGAGGGGGGTGGTCCAGACCTTGGGATGTTATCGGAACGTTCAGGGGTCTGCACATGGGACTGCTGGAGGCCGGCGTGTTGGGGAGCTCTGTGAGTAAGGGAAACGAAAGTTCATGATGTATTTTGAAGTTTCATGCCCAATACCCTTCTCGATCCTCGCCCAAAAAGCAACATCAAGCACTCAATATGAAGGAAACTAAGGATTAAGGAACATCATTTTACAAAACCCGTAAAAAAGAAAACGGCCCACTAGAGAAACGAGGATCAAAGAGGCCAGCCTGGCCCAGAAGTCCAGGAAGGTCCTCGCTCGGAAGACGGTGTAATAGCCCAGCAAGAAGGACAACGGGGCTTCAGCACCTTGCTCCGATCGAAAGGGTCCATTGGGGTTCATTATGGGTTTTAACGTAGGGATTCAGGATTTCGCAAGTTTTGGAATCCTCCGACTACGGGGCGCTTGGGGATTCAGGGTCTGGTCGCCTTTGGGCTTCGGCACCTTTTTCTGACTGCAAGGCCAGAATGAGGCCGTTGCTTGGCAAGCCCTTCTGCCGGGACTTTCGGAACTCTCGGACAACGTCCACTAGTTGCACCTTCCCCCGGTAGCAGTCCATAAAATACGGCACCAGGATGATGCCTCCTTGGATGACGGCTAAGCCAAATTCCTGCCCAAAAAGCAGCGAGAGCAGGGTGTCCCAGTCCGAGGCATAGTCGAGCAGGTAAAGGAGGAAGTCGAGATGCAGCTGACGGAGTTTCTGCCGGTCCCGGGAGTAGGAGCGCTGAGCCATTTCGGATCGGAGGCTTTCAGTTCTCTCTTCGATGCGTTTCATCACGTCCTCGTTTAAAGGGATGTGACAAATGAGGCAGCGTTCCGCCAGGCTCAGGGCCAAGGTTGCCGCCAGTTTCAGCCCAAGCACCGCCACGCTGCCAGGAACCATGCCGTTAGGCCTGCTTCGGGCCAACTCCCATGCCTGTAATTGTGCGCAAGTGCGCACCTGGCGAGGTGCGTGGGCAGTAGGTTCGACGATGCCCAGTTCTGGTACTTTGAGTAGAACCTGTAGGCGGCAGTGTCCCCAAAACCCTCACTATGCTCGTTGCGTGGCAGGAAGGCCCCTTCACTGCAGCTCTGTCGTTGCCACTTCTGCCACAAAGAGGACGTGGACTGACACATCAAGCAGTGGCAGCACGTCGCCTGGCAGCCAGAGCAGCCCAGGCCATACCTGGAATAATTCAAGGCGACATTTACACTTCTGTATGTCCCAACTCTCGGGCCACATTCTGCTCGACACTGCTCTGAGCAAGCGGACCTTGCTGTCTCCTGGAACTTCTTTATTTGTTTAGAGTCATCAAATGTTTTTGTTTTCAAGCACGCTGAAACATGCAAGATCGAGCTCTTGGCAACTCAGGTTGCCAAACTGCGCCAAGCAGTATGAGCCCTCCACGCTGTCCAGCAGCTCTTCGTACTGACTGGTCAGCAAAAATGCGGCTGCAAAGCTCACAATTGGAACACGATGATGGCAGCGCTGAAGAGGGTCGCCGGCCTCTGCAGGCGCAGGAAGCCAAGCCGGGAGTGGTCCACTGGCCACTGCAGGCAAAGCGGCTGGGCGAAAGGCCGAAACGGCTGCGGAGCTTGCAAGAGCAGAGCCAACGGGAGGGCTGCGAGCCAGGGACTGGTCAGGATACTGATGTGGACGATGAAGGGGAGGGAGGCCACCTCCAACACCACCAAGAACCTGGGACTCAAGAGATCTCATGCCCCGAAAGCAACATGGTCCCACATCTGGAGCTGGAGACCTATATCAAGGGAGAGGGAGTCAGAGGGAAGGCACAGGGAGGGAGGAAGAGACAGGGATAGGGAGGGAGTGGGAGAGGGAGTGACAGGGTGAGAGGGAGATAGAGGGGGAGGGAGTGACGGGAAGAATTAACATAGAGAGAAAGGCAGAAGGGAGAGACGAACGAAAGGAGGAGACACGGGTGAACTTTACTTGAGCTACTGCAGCTGCTGCGCAACGTGGCCGAGGAGCCAAACGCTCCAAGCCCACCACGGGTTCTTGGCAGCCTCCTCCCGCGCAGCTTCCAGCCGCGCCGAAAGCGCGAACTTTTGCAGTCTCATGGCGCCTCCAAGGCCTCCAAGCTCAAAGCAGCGCCGGCTGCACCCGCGACGTCTGTACAGGGGCCGTCTTTTTCCCGGCCTTACCCTCTAAATTGAGCCTCAGCTGCGAAGATGCCAGCCAAACATTGAAGCGCTGCACAAATATGAGCACAACAACAATACGCATACAAATCATGTGGGACAACCCGGCAACCTGGGACGTTCGTAAGGTCCCCAGCACGCGGTTTTCATCACAAGAACTGGTTACTTGTATTTACTTGTTGAAAGAACCCAACAAGCGCAGTGCCTGGCGCCTGCAGATGGAAAGCCCGGAGAAGCTCCTCGGCAAGGTACGCGGCACGAACCGGCCTCCCAGTCTCAGTCTGTTGGAAGGTTCGGGCACAATCAAGAAAAAGTTGTCGGCATGGTCTGTGCGATGCACAACAAGATCTCGGATCCCACTGATTTGGGCTTGTGAAACTCCAGGGCCGATGCCAACGAAGCCAACGAACCAAACAACGCGATGCTGACGTCCTGCCACAAGAAAAAGGAGCAGTCGGGCGAACTGCGACCAGGGCTAGCCTCGGAGAGCGTGGAGTCGGGGCCGAGCCGAAGCCCAAGTCATTCCAAAGTTCATTCGGCCTTTTCTCGCACGCGGACTTTCAGACAGCGCGGCTTACATCACTGGTAGAATCTGGTGCATTTCCCCAGTGCATCTGGTTATATCTTTAGTTCTACAAATCGTAATACCTATGTTAAGAGTTGTTCTTACAGGCGAAGACAACAATTACATCGACACGTCAAGTATTTGTGTATCTTTGACGTTGTTAATTCGCCACATCTTTGCGTGGGGCTCGTACTTTTGGGCCTGTCCCACCTCCTCCTCCTCCTCGCCTACTCCTTCTGCCTCCTTCCGAGCGAGCGTGGGGGGCTCGGTTGGCAGATCGCGCACTATTCCATTACGCACAACAATTAAACCCATAACTTCTAGAGCACATAACATGTATGTGGGTGGCAGAACTTCTTCAAGACACTGGCAACAGAATTGCACAAAACTTAAGACAGGTGGAATTAGACATGGATCGCTACACGGATGCAAGAAGAGTATTATAAAAAACTCCGCAAGTGGATACGCTATTCGGGCCCATTGTGGGATGTAGCGTTGTTTTGTAATGAGGCAATATGTCACCTGATTTTTCTAAGCTTTGTGCTGTTCTGTAGGTTTATCTAAACCAAAACAGGAGCAACCCAACTAATGGTTAGAAGTCTTGATTGTGGGGCGATTTTCTTATAACACAGATTCATTCAATCCTGTCAAAAATGAGGACATAGCCGAGCTTTGAGACATCGATGCAGCCATTTCCGAGCAAGGATGGTTTTAAAAATTCGAAAAAGTTATAAGACAATGTTTGGCAAGGTTAGGAAACCAAAAGGACCAACACGAGTAAAAAAAGAAACAAACAAACAAACAAAAAACAACTTACAAAAAAGATTAAGAATTCCTTGTGTGAAACAATTAGGTGTATTGTAGAACTGATACAATCGCTGTAGCGCAACCACGACTATAAATGAAAACAATTTCTAGAGATATATATATAATTTTAATTCACACAGAAAGTAATTATAGATTCGAGGGTGGAATTGAGAATAAATTCCCTTCTCTCTTCTCCTCTGATTTCTCGAATAATGAAATACAGAAAACAAAAAAGAATTCGAGAGGGTGGAATTTTGCATACATTCCACTCTCTCTTCTCCCTTCCTCCCACTCCACATTCTCTCGCTTATCCCTTCCTCCCACTCCCTCGTCTGTGATTCAAAAAAGAAAGTCCACTTCCAGAACAAAAAAACAGTCTCGTCTCTGCTCCGCTGCTTTTTCGAAGAAATACAAAAAAACAAAAAGAAATGGGGCGCCGCGCCCCCCAACCCTCCTGATTTTCGAACAATGAAAAAAAAGTCTCGTCTCTACCTGATTTTCGAACAATGAATGATGCAAAAACAACAAAAAAAGTCTCGTTTTTTGATTTTTTAACATGAATGAAACACTAGACACCGATTATCCCGAAAGCAATCAGTGCGTTCAGGCGTTTATCCAGGCAATCCTGTATTCGGCTAGCTTCTCTGCAAGTTCAGCACATTGAACGCGAAGCTGGTCGATCTGACGTTGCAGATCATTATCTTACTTCCACAGTTCCAGAATCTTTTCCAGGTTCCTCGACTCTGCTTCTGCAGTCGATATGTGCACGGCTTCTTCTGTTGCCATGGCGGCCTACCATGATTGGGATTCACTTGAGCACAACAAACAGACGAGCACGTTGTTGAAAGAGAGTGAGCGAGAACACGGAGCATGATCATCAACGTTCCGGTCATTAATGCACAAACAACGCGTTCGATTTTTCGACACATCCTGTTCGTTCCAATATTCACTCCGCGTGCATTCACCAAATATTGCAGCTTTGTCCACACTGTCGACCAAGCCATCAATCAGGACAGCCACCTTGCCCCACCCGCGCACACTGCGCGAACTTGATCGTGGACTCCGGATGGACGCCAGAAGCTGCCGTAGTTGGAAGCGGAAAAGTCGACTTTTGCAGTTGAAAGTCGACTTTCTGCAGTACAAAGTAGTTCGCCGTGGGACTCGAACTCCGCGGTGTCGAAACCCTTGCAAATATCGGCGCGGAACTCTGGGGCTTCGAAAGGGTTGCAAATACCGTGTCCTCGACCTCCTCCAGAAAACCTATCAGGAAGACGTAGACCGCCGCATCGCCACCGGCCTCGCTGCCCCTGAGCTAAAGGAAGGAGTCGACTGGACGGTAGGGGGCGAACCACGAAAGCAGCTGCCCTGAGGTGTGTCTGGCAAGGTGCCCTGGTGTGCAGCCAAAACTCTGCTGTCAAAGTGTGCCCCCGGTGCCACCAGGAAGCGGACTGGGAGCATGTGCTCTTGGATTGTGCTTGGTGGGAAGCCTGGGAGTTGCCAACATGGTTCCAAGAAGGCAGGGCCCAAGGTCCGACCAAGGCAGAGTGACGGTTGAAGGGGATACATTTTACACATGTTTTAAAACTGCTAGAGGACAGACAACTGTGGGTCTGCGAAGGTTGTGGTGGACAGTTGTCCTTGAAGACTAAATTCGCAAAAACTTTCAGTTGCATGCAGTTTTAAAAAGGACCCCAGGCGCAAGGCGCAGTTTAAGTCCGAGCCAACCAATGCCATCCGCAGCCTCTTTCAGCAGCAAGGGACAGCCCGTTGCAGCAGACCCCCTGTGCAAATCCCTGAAGGCACCGGCAGCTGAAGCAACCTAGGAGGTTGCATCCTTCCAGTGAGGATAAAGTGAAGGTCATCCTCGCTACCAGAGAAACCTCTAACCGATCCCCTCGAACAGCCTGCGCCAGGTGCACCAGCGGCCTTGAGGGAACTTTTTGTCAGGAGGTTTAATCCTCTCATGAGGTATCACCCTCTGGTAGCATCTCAGGAGGATGATGGAGTCGAGGTTCATCCTCGCTGCCAGAGAACACACCCCTGGCCGATTTCCTCTCACAGTTTAGCAGAGACTACAACACAACCAAAACGACACAGACAACAGACGCACAACCAACAAAAGCAAGGGTGAAACGCTGCCCTCGCGTTTGGCGGCAGTGCTCATCGCGTGCAGCCTTTGTTTCCAGAGGGTCCACGAATGATACTAGTGTCAGCAGGGCATCCTAAGCCTATGCCCTAAAGATCCTTAAAGCCTGAGCCACAACCGCGCGGGAGCAGACTCCGGAATCAGACCCTAACTCCCCTCTAGAAGTCAATGCCACAGCAGGCCCCGACCTTCATTGTTCGAAGCTGATAGATCAGGAACTTGAAACATGGGCCATGCTACCTGATTCATCGGTTGCAGTCCCTTTGGGATAAGTGATTGGGCGGCATTGTGTAGTTCATTCGTTTATGGCTTGGTCAACGCCTAGAGGAAGTGAGGGCACATGTGCGCGACGTGCAGCCTCTACTGCGCAAGAGTCTATTATGGCAAGACGTGCATGAAAGCGCACCTCCTAATGAGCCACTGCACCCAGAATACGGGCTGGAACAACACTGAGCTCATGATTTGCTTTGGAAGCAGGGGGTTGCAAAACAACGAAGGCACGTCTCGATACACCCCATATTCCAGCGTGAACCTCAGAAACAATTGCAACCGAATTTGCCGAAAGTTAGTTGCCCAGATGGGGGGTTTACGCAAGCCTGCTTGGCCTTCGTAGGCCAGCTGTGCCAGACACCCAGCAATGGCAACTCAGCGCAATCACCCAAAGCCTTAAAGCTTCCTATCTCTGATCGGAAGCACATTCCGGTGCCGCATCCCAGCCAATGCGGCAGGCGTAGCTGAAGACAAAGGAGGGCCAGCTCGCAGCACGAGAGATCACGGGCTCAGAGGCCCTCAAGATCCCGGAGAGTTCCGGTGAGGCGCAAAAGAAAGGAATCGCCATGGAAAGCCTGAAATCGCCTCACATGCTGTGCCACAGGGTCCAAGCAGATCATGTGGCCAGCTAATGCCTTACACATCACCCCAAATTGCCATACCTGAGCCTCATCTTGTATTTTGCATGGCACATCTTAGAAGACAGGCTCAGGTTCCGTTTGAAGAGGGAACTTCAACTCGTGGTTCTCAAACCGTGACAGAGCTCCTTTAAGCTTTCGCGCTCATTTTGAAATTCTCTTCGAGCTTCTTCAAGAGCTCCTTTGAGTGCTTTTCAGGGCTTTGTTGTCGGGGACGGCTTGCGCCCTCGGCGAAATGGGCTGCAACTGTCCGGCTACAGGTCATCCTGAATCATTCGAACATTGTTCCTTGGATTCCCTGTTGTCATTCTTTTCACTATTCTCTTTGATGATGAGTGTTGCTGTGAAGTTTCAATCTTCCAACAAACTTTGAGGAGTGTTTGCCATTCGCCAGAACACACAACACCGCATCCAGGCTGCTTGACGTTCTGCAGTTCCAGCCAGCACGAACTGAGTTCATGAGGAATTCGGCGCATGCTCGACGCTTGTCCGG